TAAATATATATTCTTTTTGTACTTATATATACATATATTTATATATCGTATCGTTTAATATGAACATTATAATATATGGTAAAAAGTTTTTTCATTGATATAAGTAGATAAAAAATATCTACATATATATATATATATATATATATATATATATATATATATATGGTGAATTTGGTTTACTTACTAGAAAACCTTATAACGCATGATATATTGCACCTCTCTTTCAGTTGTGCAGAGTCATTTAACCTTAGTATATCTATTATTAAATGCAATAAATAATTACTACGAAAGTTTTATAATATTTTCAGAAAATATTTTAATAATTTTACTTTAGTATTAATATTTTTATATTATATATTGATTAGAAAGACATTTAACATTTATTATAAGAACAGTTTATACACATTAAAAATTATTAATACATATTATTGTTTTATATTACATATATATAAATTAATGTATATTCGTTTAGACATTATTGTGTTATTGAAATAAAAAAAAAATTAATATTTGTTGTCGATTGATTAAGACAATTGTTACAGATAAACGAATAATTTATTTACGAATCAACATTATCCTAATATGTTTATTACAGGAATGTTTATTACAAAAAGGAAATTATTAAACTTACTGTTACAGCATTGTTCACATTGATCTTTTGTAAATATAAGTTTTTTTAATGCTATACAATACAAAATATATAAATAAAAAACTCTTCATTATGTATATTATTTAAAAGGGATATTACCTATATTAAATTCTAAATACGTAACCAACAAGAAAACGATTGTTAAATAATGCATTTTTTTATTTATATGCTTTTTAATTTTGTTTGATAAAATATTTAGATTGCATATTAAGTTCTAAAATTTGCTTCTTAATAAAAGTATACAATTATATTTGATTATTAAGTAAAAATATAGCTTCATTATCATGTATGTTTGTGATATTATCCTTCGCTTACAATCATATATTGATTTAATGTCTTTGTTATTCATATTCTATTTTTCAAATAATAATATTTTTAATATGATTATTGATTTTAACATTCAACTTTAAAATATTTTATAATGTAATGTATTTCGTAAATTTGTTATTAATTATCTTATGAAAGATATATCTTATTTATTCTAATATAAATAATACAAATAATATTATTTTATAAACATAGCTACTAATAATATAGGTATAAGATAATAAGCCATAAGTCATGATTGAAAATGAATTATGCTGTATGTAGGCGTTGCTAATATTATTTAATGAAGATTTTATTTAAGACGATATTGTTATTAATAAATTTTTTATTAATAAAATTTTGTTTTTTCCTATATTAATAATGGAAGTCTCTTGATTATTATTAGAAAAATTTTTAAATTTAATTTAACCATCATTATTTTACCATAATTACAACATCAATGAATTTTAAAAACTCTTATTATTAATTATGATTATTGTAATGAATTATATTATTGATTAACTGAATTTATTTATTTATATCATTCAATTTTTTTCATAAAACTGACGAAACATATGTGTGTATATATATAAATATCATATTGTTTGGGATTGGATCATCTTCCAAGAACTTTCAAATGAGAGAAGTATAATCCTTCTAACTCTTCTGTTTGTAAACATTGATTCTGCGAATTTTTTAATATTCTATGCCTTATTGACGAGTGTCCTACAATATTTCCGCAAAGCAACGTCGATTGGAAATTCTCGAATCTTCTAAAGCTTTGTTTTTCTGGAATCCTCGAAGTTTCTAGAGCTTTAGTCTCTGACGTCATCAAGACTTTCAGCATAGCGTCACCTATGCATTGTTGCCAGTTAAGTAAGCTGCCGCACGCATATTTAAGGGAAGCACGCGACGAACCACCTGGAATTACACGAAGAAGTACCGGAGATTTATGATTTCCCCGCTCCCGTCTTCTTTATTTGGATATGTCTATAGGAGTAGTCCTAGACATAATGAAAAAAATGGCAGAATTACACAAGGCCTTCCCAAAGGGGCACAACCATCTTGAGTTAACTTGGCCGGCAGAATTAAAAAATCATGAATACTTCACGAAGAACATACTAAAGGAAGAACTCAAGCATTATTCATCTTCACAATTAGCCATCATCGAGCTACATAATAAATTAACTGAGTCAACTACGATAACTGAAAAATCATATGAAATATCACCCGTGGAGGGAGAATCGATGGAGATGGACTGTTCTCTAGATTTCCCAATTCCAAAGTTCTTTGGCGATTATTTAGCTAGCGAACGTTCTGAGATCTATCGCAACCGATAATCCTAAAAGGCAGTAAGCTCAGTGATGTACAAAAACTACATCAGAACATCTCTCGAAGGCTCAGAAGTAAGAATTATTTCGAGCTTATCACTACAAAATGCCTCCCTTGAAATAGCTCAGAAAAAATTGATAGAAAGATATGACAACGCTCGACTGGCCATAAAACCTCTCCTACAAAACTCCTCTTTACTTCATCAACAGTAAAACAAACAGCTCGCGAAGTAGAAGAATTGGTAAGTGACGCAAATGGTCTATTATAAGGATTGAACTTATTAGACATCACCGATGCATGGGACTGCATGACAGTGCATCAAGTCACTAAGCAACTCAAAGAAGAACTGCTTGGGAATGATCACTTGGCTACTCAACATCTTACCCCAAGTCTGAGCAACTAAAAACATTCTTACTGTCACAACTGCTCTAGAAACTATAGAAGACCCCAGGGATCGAAAGGCCCAGTCCACTTCCATTCACGAAAAAGGAGAACGGTGATTCTATCAGTTCTCTATAAAGACTGTCATAAAGGGCGAAGGGCAAGAAAGCAAATAGCATAATGAAACATGCAACTACTGCCAAGATGAACATGTGCGGAAAACATGCCCAACATTTAAAGAATTGCCGATAGCCGAAAAAGGGCAATTATAAAGTCGGAACACTTGTGTTACAACTGTTTGGGAACGCACCGCTTGAGCATTGACAGGAGCAACCAGAACTACGTAAAGTGTCACTGACGGCATAATACGCTATTACATGATGATCAATATTCGAATTCCATAGGTCATAATTCAACATCATCCTTAAAATGAAGAGAATATGCAATCGTCAATCTACCGAGACAATTACCATATGCATATTGTATGCATATGTGCGCATATTTAAAGGAAGCACGCGACGAACCACGGCCTCTCGTAGTGAACTTCTCTCAGTGAAGACACCATGACACGGATTATGGTCTATCTTAGCAGAACCGCCATGAAACAGTCGATATATCTCAGGAGAGCCGACACGGAACGAACAAGCCTTCAATTTTCGTCTGCGTATTGAACAGGCTTGTAAGCTCATTGTAAATTTCTCAATCAATCAGTTATCAGTTATTAGACTATACAGCCATATACCAGTCAGTCAATTATACTCATTGTACTTACATGATTCAGTCAGACTTTACAGCGATAAGCTAGTTACACCAATACAGTGAAGTGAAGCCATTATACTTAATACTTGTTTAAGTGCGTAATAATTCAAAACAGTCAAGAGTGCTGATTGCATTACAAGAGCGAATACGACTATAAGAAGCGCAATATCTAAGCACTCATCACAGGATCGGGCAAGACAAGTGAATCTCTGTGAGTAAAATCATTTAGCCAAAGCGTATCTAATTGTGCGATATGCACCTTGCTATTGGGCATGTAATTTAATACGTTACCATCAGATGGTATTACTCGAAGAAGTACCGGAGATTTATGATTTCTTACTTTCAGTGTAACAATTTACCTCGAAGCACACTATGTCAAGAGTATGTCAAGAGATTTACGACCTAATACCATATACTAACGCCACGTAGAAACTACCACCGAGCTACAAGATATTACAGATTCTCAACAGTATCTTAGAATCATTATTACTATGTAGTTTGTAAATTAAAAGGCAATAAACGGCACGATAAGCAAATGTATGTAATTATTGAATAAATGTGCTATCCCTTCCAATTGCCCGCAATTTTCCCACCGAACATTCTGGGAGCATAGTCTAATTCTAAACACATATACTACATATAGAAGACAGACTTTTGTCTCAAAACTATTTTAAATATTATCATTATGTATGATGTATTTATATTACGTGAGCCTTAAATTATCTGTTATACAAAAAAAAACTATAAATTTTAATTTTGACAATTCAGGTTTAAGTAATTTTTATTTTTATACAATATTGGTTAATAAGAACGAATATAATTTTGGATTATTATCGATTCTATTTAATTCCCTTAGATTTATATATTGAAAATACCTTTATTGCACTTAGAATTTCAGAAATATATATATAATTTTTATAATGATCTATTATAATTAAATATTTCAGGCTTAGTGTTTTTAAGCAATTTCAGAAAGATTTTGGACATGTAGAAAGTATTTAACTGAATGTACTATATATTATTTTTTTTATTGCTTACTCCGAAAATCACATGAAAAACAATTAAAATGTTAATTTTATTTTTTTAGGTTGATTATATATTAATTCGTAATTGTAATAAAATAAAATTTATGATATTATTCATTTATAATGCCATAATAAATAAAAAATGACAATTATTATACAAAAATTTATAATTAGTATTTTTATATTTAATTTTTTATTTAATTGAATCTAAAGACCAAAAAAGCTTATTAGCTTATTAGAAATTATAGATGATCAATATATGTAATATCGATATATAAACTGAAACAATAGAAGAACTTCTTTAATATAATCTATTATTTAAATAAATGAATTAGAATAACAAAGTCATTAAAGTTAATTATGGCGGTCATTGATAAAAGTATATTACATTTATCAAATAGCTGTAAGATTCACTTCATTATTCCTACAAAACCAATATACACTTAGTATTTAATATTAAACAATAATAGTGGCTTAATAATTTAAAATATTTAAATAATACGATTCACATATTATAAATAAGTAAATATGCATTATCCGATATTGATTCTTTTGTTTTTTTTATATTGTACAGCATTGAGTGCAGGTACTGTAATTTTATGGAGAACTTTGTAATGAAAATTCAATCGTTTATTCAATTATTTGGAATTTTTTAGGATTAATAGAGCTTACATTTACAAAAGAACATTGCTTACATTGTTGTAAAGGTAAATATATTAAATAATATATTAAAATTTTATAAATAATAAGGTTTAAAATTATTCTTATTATTCTTTTATAAGTCTTTTGAAAGACTATCAAATAAATGTAAAATATAAATATATACATGGAACGAAAACGTACAATTTATATTCCAAAAAATTGTTGTTATTTTTAAAGTAACAAAAAAAAAGAATTTATTTTTATTTTGAAAATAACTAATATACGTAAACTAATATTCAAATACTATTCCGTAAATATATGGAGTAAATAAATCAAAATTTATATTTCACTATAATCGTTGCACAAGCAACATATTGGAATAATTTATTTAAAGAAAACATAATTTTACATATTATTAAAAATGATATGTTTGTATAAATCACAAATAAAGTGCACATAAGAGGAAAAATATCTACGATTAAAATGAAAACTGAATAAGGAATAAAAAATATGCTGTATATATATTTATTTTTTTCTAATAATTTGTATTTATATTTAAATCAAGGTGTGTATACAAAGATTCAAGCCAAATGTAGGAATTTATGTACAAAAAAGTATACAGGTAAATAACATAAAAATAAGCAATGATCATATATTTAAAGAATATATTAAAATATTTCTAGTGTATATAATAATTTCGATTTTAATTTATTAATTATATGAAAAATTTAAAAAAAATCTGGTGTAATATTACTTTAAAATATTGAATTATCAACCATATGCGATAACATTTTATGCAAATGATGACTAATGTAATCTAAAAAATTGTAAATTTAAAATCATTAATAATTATTATTTTCTACGTTATTTATCCGATAATTCCGCATAATATTTAGAAATGTCTATTGAAGAATTTGCGAAAATCACAAGTATAGTTTCTACATTCTTACATGTTCTTATCATTCATATTGTAATATTTATTTTAATATTGTATAGTTCCCAATATATATGAAACGAAGAAAGATTGCCTTATTGGTTGTAAAGGTAAATATGAAGTTTTCGTTGTTCATAAAATTATTAAAAATTACATGTTATGACTAATAAGTAGCTTTAACACAAAATTATATTAACTATATAAAAAGAAATAAATCTTTTATTTATAAATAATTATTTTGATCAATATAGAAAAAGAATAAAATAATAAATATATATATAATAAGAAATTATTTAAGAAATGAGTACTAAATTACTGAACAAAATAAGAAAACTATATTGCGGTATTTTCAACCCGTAAATTGAAATGCAATAAGTATCAGATCCTTGAAACATTAACCCCAATGATTATTACATACAAATTTAAATTAAAACAACGTTAAAACATAATATTATTATTAAATCTCAAATATTGCGACATAATCAATCTTGAGCGATAAAAAGATGATAAGCAATTTTATATTTATGAAATACAGATGTTATCCTTGCCTGCAGAGAAGGATGTCTAGTTGCATGTAAAGATATGTTTAATCCAAGTATGTGAAATTATTCAAATAATGTATAGATTTTTTTCTTTTTATATATAACTATATTAAATATATATAAAATACTACTTTTAGGGAAAACCACAAAAACTGGAATTTCAGAGACAGGTTTAGATTTAACATTAAAGCTTGGAAGCAATTAAAACTGTCCATTGATAATCAAAATTGAAAAATAATATCTTTTCCGATGAATGCCAAAGATTGAATGATTTATTGTATAATTTCAACGGACGTTTTGTATAAAACAAATATTTAACATTATTATGAACTTTATAAAAGGCAACATTTATGAAAACGTAACAAATGAGTTTATTGTATAGAATCATACATGTATTTTTTAGTAAAAGAAATTTTAAAATACAAATAAAGATTTTATTTAGTCCCAGCTGTGAGAAAATAAATTTCTGTAACATATTTCATGAATATTCATATAATCATCACGTAATAGCGTATATATACGTATCATCAATCATCAGATCAATTTTCACTTTACTGACTACTTTCATACATATTATTGTCATTAATACAATAATTAGTTTATTATAAGTTTACAAAATTTGTATTCACATCTGAATAATGCGGTTTAAAAACATTAGAATGTCTATTTTATGTAAATCTTAATTCATCGATTTTATTGAAGTTAAAGGCAATCCCACAGCCCACTTATTAATAACTTAGATAAGTTACCTTAATTCTGCAATGTATTATAAAATCTTATTTACAATAATAGAAATTTATAAATGAATTTAAATTGATCAAAATATTCATTATTTGTGTTTAAATTTTCTTTGATATTGTGAGAAGCCTAGTAGTACCTAATTCAAAGTTAAATAATAGAGAGTGATCGAGAAGCTAGTGTACCTGATAAAATATACATGCGGCTACTGGAAACATCGAATCATTGATATTAAACTCCATGATATTCTTTCAATTTTACAAACTTAAATGTACAAATTTAATTCTTACATAAGAGGTAAACGTAAATATACAGAAGATAAGTAAATTGAAGACTATTGAAACTATAATGTATTAATAATATATTTGATAAAAACAAAATATAAAATATCTTTTAAAATAATTTTAAGATTTAAATAACGTGTAATAAAAACATATATATAGTAATATGAAATCATTAAAAACAAAAAATACAAAAAGATATATATTACGAATTAACCTATACTTCTATAATATTAATTTTAAATAGTTTTAATATTAATTTAATGAGAAAAATTTTATTGAAGATTAACTGATTTTATTATGTAATGATAAATTATTTCTTTTAAGATTTAATGTCGAGTTTTTTTTATCACCTACAGACAGCGAGAACAATTAACTTTTTATTCGAGAAAACTAATCAGCACATACCTATATGGAAACGCTTTAGAATTTTCCATAGCTTTTTATTAAAAATATTTAAATAATATTTTTAATGTAAAATCACCAATAATAAATAAATCATAAATGTTCAACATGACAGTTCTGATATAAATAAGCTATACTTATTCAATCAATTCATGTAATTGTATGTCATATACTTAAAAAATCAATTATTTATAAAAAAATTACAATTATTCTTTAAACAGTATGTATAAATGAACAATATATTAGAACATTGTAACATTTCAAATTTGCATAAGATTGATAAGAATGATAAAAGAAGTACAAAAGAATTTATTGTATAATATACAGATCAGTGATAGCATTACGAAATTCACATGTTAGAATAATTAATATATCGTGATTTATTGTATAAAAAATGCAATATTAAAACCGTAGTAGAATTCGTTTAATCTCTCTTAGTATTTAAAAATCAAATTTCAATAACAAAATCATTAAAGTAAATTATAGTGATAATTCTAATATTATATATAACATACATATTACAAATACTAATAAATAGGCTATATTGAATATTTTATTATTATAACATATATATATTACCCAGCATTAACATATTATAAGGATCATAATCTATTGACAAATAATAAAAATATTAAAAAATTTACATTAAATAACATGCATTATTCATTATTACTTGCGTTATTATCAATATTTTGCATAGTATTTACTACAGGTAACTTTTTATTTTTATAAAAAAATTGATTACCAACTGTTAATTATTTATTCATTTCGTATTTTGTAGGTTTGAAAGAACTTACATATACAAGACAGCAATGTCTAGACTGTTGTAATGGTAAAATTTATATTTTATAAATTTAAAATATTTAGAAAGTTTGCATTTGTTTTAAGAAATAAAATAAAATCCTATACATATCATGAGTTTGGATAAATGTTACATTATTATTAGCATTTTTTCATAAAAATTTGAAGGTACAAATATAGAAATTTGAATTGATATGTGCTAGATTTACATAAAACTCTATAATAATCTCATTAATTATATTATAAAAAACATTATTTATGACTATAGTGAAAAATAAAATAATTTATATTTACTTTCATTATTATTAAATATATATAAAAGTGAACTTTAACAAAAACGTATAATCATAAGTATATTACAATATAAGAGTTCTATAAATTGGAATATGCTTTATATTTAAATCTTACCTAACATTTAATTATATTGATTAATTAATGAAAAAAATTAAATTAATTAATTTATAAAATCTAAAATATGTAGATGAAAAAATGTGCCTTATAATCTATTCCGAAAAAATGTCTATAAAACTCTTAAACATAATTTGTTGTATAGAAGAAAATATGCAAAAATTTCATAGACGTTATGCAATAATTTGTTTATATTTTTGTTTTTTTTCTGATAATATACTTTTACATTTAAATTAAGGTGTTTCTAGCATGCATAGATACAGGTGCAAAAACTTATGCATGACAAAGTATTCAAGTAAGTAAAATAGTAGAACTAAATAGATGGATATTTGAATCGTTTCTTATGCAAAATATATTAATATAGCTATCTTGTAGAAAATAATTTAAATTGTATTTTATTTCATAAATAAAAAAAATAATAAAATGTGTATATCGTATTATTCTGATATAATGAATAGCCATTGTGCACTAACGTTTTATGCGACAGGTAACTGATGTAATTTAAGAATTTGTACATAGAAAATCATAAATCATTATTCTTTTCTACATTTTATTCGATAATTAAAATTAAAATCGAACGAAGAATAAAGTAATAGCTAAATAATTTGAATTTGTAAGTTTTATCGTATTTTAATACAACTTTATGAACACAATACAATTAATTTTATTTTCAGAAAATAAAAGACGTTTGAATTTGATGAATTCATTCAATCCTTCGAAATGCAATACAAATTCCGTATAATGTCTAGAAAAGACTATTAAAAACTTCGAAAACCACAATTAAAATCATTCATTTTTTAAAGTACATTATATTAAATTTATTGTATTTTTTCTTGCTTATGAAACTATTTATATATATTTTCTGTTATATAGTCCCTAATATGTATAATTCGAGGAGTTCATGCATTACGGGTTGCAAGGGTAAATACTATATTTTAATATTTGATAATAAGAAAAATTACAAGTTATGACTAATCAGAAGCTTCTACACAAAGATATATTAGCGAAATAACAAGAAATAAAACTTTTATTTATAAAATAATTATTCTGATCAATATTGAAAATGGATAAAATATAAAATATATATACAAAAGATATCATTCACGAAATCAAGACAAAATTACCAATGAAATACAAAAACTATATTAGGGTCCTTTGAATCCACAATATAATATGGAATAATCATTAGATTATTGAGTTATTATGGAATTTACGTATTATGCTTATGTATCATAAGATACAATGATAAGCGGAAATTAGTCTAAGCATTAATTTATAAGATTTGGACAATACATTAATAATTTACAATAATGACATAAATTTTCCAATACATTTAAGAATTAGATATAAGAATATTTAAAAACACAGTAGTATTATAAAATATGTGTTTATAAAACAAATTTTTTTATATATACATAAAATAAACGAGAAAAACTGTGAAATAATTCATTGTTAAGCTCATAAATGGGATATAGTAATTATATTTTATGATTTTAGATATTATGATAGATTGCCGAGAAGGATGTATCGAAGCTTGTAAAGAGATGTTTGAAAAATGTATGTTAAATTATTCTTATTAGAGTTTATTAAAATTTATTAATTTCTGTTAAATGCCATGAGTCTAAAAATTATATTTTTAGATGAAACTCCTAAAGGACGAATGAAAACTAGTAAATCTAAATTATCTTCGGTATCTCAAAACAACAAAGAATTGTCTTTGAATAATTAATCAAAATTGAAAAATAATATCTTTTCCGATGAATGCCAAAGATTGAATGATTTATTGTATAATTTCAACGGACGTTTTGTATAAAACAAATATTTAACATTATTATGAACTTTATAAAAGGCAACATTTATGAAAACGTAACAAATGAGTTTATTGTATAGAATCATACATGTATTTTTTAGTAAAAGAAATTTTAAAATACAAATAAAGATTTTATTTAGTCCCAGCTGTGAGAAAATAAATTTCTGTAACATATTTCATGAATATTCATATAATCATCACGTAATAGCGTATATATACGTATCATCAATCATCAGATCAATTTTCACTTTACTGACTACTTTCATACATATTATTGTCATTAATACAATAATTAGTTTATTATAAGTTTACAAAATTTGTATTCACATCTGAATAATGCGGTTTAAAAACATTAGAATGTCTATTTTATGTAAATCTTAATTCATCGATTTTATTGAAGTTAAAGGCAATCCCACAGCCCACTTATTAATAACTTAGATAAGTTACCTTAATTCTGCAATGTATTATAAAATCTTATTTACAATAATAGAAATTTATAAATGAATTTAAATTGATCAAAATATTCATTATTTGTGTTTAAATTTTCTTTGATATTGTGAGAAGCCTAGTAGTACCTAATTCAAAGTTAAATAATAGAGAGTGATCGAGAA